TCGAAAAAATGGTTAGGTAAGTGTGTTGTGCATGAAATTTATGCAAGGTTAAAATCAGGATAATGGAGGATGAGAAAGATGAAATTCCCCAAAAAAATTTCTATCTGACAACAGACGAGCGGAATAATGAAATCGCGTTTCTAAAGTACAAGCGAGGGGAGAGAATTGTTGATTGGCTTATGGAAACAAAGCAAAAAATTTTTCAACACAAATGGACTACACCCATTAAAGCAGTTCTACTAAATTCTCTGGATGAATCTGCTCGTGAATATGCCTTCAGTGAGGGTTTATGCGAGGATGATTCTTTCAATGATATTTGTAAGTCACTCGAAGAAATCTTTCGATATGATGGCAGATTACCAACCCTTCTGCAGCTGTATAACAAGAGTGATGATATTTACACTTCTAATGAAGCAAGAGCAACTGAAATCTTTTGTAGAACAAAAGCCATACTTCTAAAGCGTGATAGTAAGGAATTGGTTGAAGAAACGGCCTTGCATCTATTTATTCATACACTGAGAAGAGAATTGGCTGAAGAATTGCTGAAATTTGAACCGAGAACACTGCAGGAAGCTCTGCAGTTGTATCCCAAGGCGTTAGAAAGATATTATGCAAATCAAGTTATTTCGATAAAGTGAATATCTACCCCCCCATAGAAAAAGTTTATTTAAAGACTTTACACGTCAAATGTTAATTGCTATCTCCTTTGAGCGAAAATAATTCTAACTTATAAGCAGAATTGCTCTCCATTTTTTATCACTCAATCAATTGGCTCCTTGCTGAGATGAATGCATTTAAACCCGAGATGATAAATCTCAAGTTAAAAGATTTACGGCAGAAATGGAAATAAAATATGCCATTTTGAAAAGGTGCAGCGCATTGTTACACTAGTAAAGCCTGATAAATAATAAAAAATAATAACAAAAAAAACGGGAGATATCATCTATTGATCGCTTTGGTTACAACGAATCAGAAGTTTTTAATGTTTACTATCAAAGGAGTATTTGGGCACTTGGCAGCATATAAACCTGATATCTTGGGGGTGATTGGCTTGTTTGTTTAAGAGATAATTGTATTATCCACAGTTTTTACGGCATGTTCCCATTTTGAGTAAATTCGAAATGTATCAAACTGTAGGAAGTCATTTTGCTCTTGAGGAATTACTAGTCTCCACGCAAACTAATAGGAAAGCACTTGATCATACACAAACCAATAATATGTTGTATACACAGCCTTCATCTTATGCTCTTTGAAGGTAGGGGTATCCATACTGACAAATTGATCACTTCCTCTCAAATGAATTCGCCTCTAAAGTTCGGAGGGGGGGGGGAATTTTTCCGCGAAATGACCATGATGTCCTATCAATCAGTTATGATTGGTCATTAGAAATACTCTCAAATGAAGTCTTTCCCCTACAATAAAACATGTGTTCAAATCTTACCGGTATTTTTTTTTCTTATTTTACTGTGACTTAAATAAAATGCAGTAGGAACAGCTTTTAATAGTCTGCAAATAGTATGCATAGGTTCTTATTACGCTATTTCATCGTCTTTTTTTCTAATTCCTGATGATCTTTTCGCATGCATTTGTCTAATTAGAACTAATTAATTAGCTGAAGGAGAAAGTAAATTTTTAAGGGATGTGCGTGCTAAGTAAATAAAATAGTTACCATGGAGAAATATGCAAAATAATTGCGGAAAGAAATTTGCAGCTTATTGATAACTTCCATTTCATTCTCCTTGAAAATCGTAGGAATATAAAATCTAATTGTCCTAGCAGCATTGTTATAGGAATGAAGTTACGCATTTTGCCTAAAATTCATATTAAAAATGAATCAATTGTTGTCAAAGTCAATTATGAACGAAGAACGATGTTTCGCATCAGTCTTACCCACTTTATTGCCAAGAAGGACGATATTACGAATGCAATTTTGAAGGGCGTATTACAAGATGTTGAAAATCTTTCCTTTTAATTAAGATTTCCCAATATTCGAGTTTCTGGGGTGTGGGATAGACTTACCTCCTCGTAATGCACCCCGGGCAACGTATAATCATGCGACAAAAAGTCTATTAACCGGCAGTTGACTTCTGGCTTTAAATTACCGTTACCCCACTCATGTCATATTCGATCACTTCCACAGTACTAATCTTACCTTTTATCTGCCTTTGTGTCTGTCTGTCTCTTTAACCTCTGCGAATCACTCTTCTATTCACCCTCCCGAATTCTTCTCCCTTTGATGTTCCTCCTCCCCCTCCCCCTCTGGAAAGCCCGAAGTCAGCTAAAGGACTAATGATAACTATCAAATTATAAATAAAATATTCGAGTTTCTTAATTAAATTTTGTTTGACTAGTGCCCAGCTGAGCAATCTTGTGAAATGATACATGTCTAGGTGCTGATAAAACATTAATAAGTATTGAATAAAGACATTTTTCAAATTATCTTTAAGATGTGGGACACGTCATCGCGTGCCTGCACGCCAGGATTGGGAGGTGCGACCGCACAAAGAGTGATCAATAATTAACCTCTGTTTGTTTAACCTAATCCGCCATCCTGATTATGATTAAGATCCCTGCGTGTACACTTTTTCCGCAATATACGTACTGAATAAAAGTGCTCCGTGCTACATGTCTGTTTCCTTTATAGCTTGGCTATAGCTTAGCTAGTTCCGGGAGTCTAGCTAGATGCAGGAGGATCTGCCATAGAGATTTCTGAGTTAGACAGGCTTTACTAGCGTAGCAATCCGCTACAAAGATCTTTGATTTACCATTGGTTTTATTACTAAGTGCCTTACTTACTCCATAATTAGAAGCAACTAAAACTTTTACAAAAAATATAAATATTAATAATACAATGTGTTTGAATCGACAATACCAATTCATTCTTCCCATGGCAACTGCATTATACAGAAACGCGAAATTATTGCGCGCTAATGCAGGAGGGATTAGCACATTCATTTTTTTTCAATAATACAATAATTATTCAAATAGCATCAATTTTGTAATTTTAAAAGTGGTCTAAGGACAGCGACCACTGTACCATGGACGCGCATCACAATTAATGTTCGATACATTTGGTTCTTAAATACTCATGAATGTTAATGCTTTTGGTAAGTGATGCTATAATTTATGAACAAAATAAATTTACTTCAGTTTACCTCCTTTTCTCTTTAACTATTCATTATGAGAATACTGGTTTCGTTGATACCACAGGATGAATATAACCCGAAGTATTCCAATATATTGACTGAGCAAATTTTTTCAATAATTAATATGGGTAGGCGACTTCCTTAATAGTTTCATTTTCTTCACCAGTAAGTTTGGTCTAACTAATGATATAATAATAATCTATGTTCATCAAAAAACAATGACCAAGCAAAAATCAGATTTTATTTAAATATTTGTTTTGATTAATTTATTTCTTCGTGATTCCTCAATTTAGAAAATGTAGTCACAAAATAAATGCTACTTATTTATATTAAGTAAAACAAATTATTTAGTCTATCAAACTTGCCTTTATTCATATTTTTAAGTTCCATTTATGTTCAAATAGCTCCCCTAATTTATATAATATACATTTTGCCATCTGACTTCGTTTAAAGTATTTCAGTTTTTTCAGTTTTTTTTAATTTTTCCTTCTAGGTCAGCTTTTATTTTAAAAATGCCAATTCAGAAGACATGCACCAAAGGAATTGGCGTTGCCTGAACAACATTTCATTGGCTATCAGATAGCATTGATACGCGATTTAAAAGTGAAGTATGTTGCTTTCACGACTACGTTAGTGTATTTCAAGTCAAAATTGCAGGTAGCATTAGTCCTAGTGATGTGCGATGCGTAACATAATTTCTTCCTTAATATAATAAAATTCGAAACCTTTCAATCTTTTAGTTAAAAAAAATGAATATGTTTTAAGATTGAAACGGACTAATTGGAATGGAAAAATTTTTCGTAATTGGCACAACTTTTTCAAATACTTAATTTTCTCAAACATTTTTTCATAAGATCGCCTCTAGAACACATTTCGACGATGAAGCTTTAAGTTTAAAACATACTCATGACTTGTTGTCATTAGGGCAAAAATAAGGCTGCAATATCAGTACTCAAGCAAAGAAATTGAAATAACTTGACAAATCGCATCACAATTAGTTAATCTTAGGAATATTAGTCCTGTATATTATGATTTAACTGAGGGGTGTGTGATAGACTTACCTCCACTTTTTACGCCCCGGGCAACGTATACTCATACGGCAAAAATGTCTATAAACCGGCAGTTGACTTCTGATTTCTAGCTACCATGACCTCTTTGTATGTCATATTCGACCACTTTCACAGCATTCACCTTACCTTTCTTTGCCCTCGTGTCTGTCTGTCCCTTTTACATCTGTGAATCCCTCTTCTGTTCTCCCTCTCGACTTTTTCCCATTTTGATGTTTCCCCCTCTGTGAAGCCCGAAGTCAGCTAAAGGGCCAATGATAACTATCAAAACGTCTGCCATTTGAAATAACTAAATGATTTAATTGATTTTCTTGCCTTAGATGACATCATTATTCATTCCTTATGAATTAAGCCTAATATTAAGTTTGTGCAAATGTAGGTTAATGAGTGTTGATAGAATTTCCCTTAACAAGCAGCTAGTTTTTAAGGAGGATGCTTTCCGTAGCACTACTAGGCAATATTCTACATATATTTAGAAATATTTTGTTAATCAATTTATTCTAAGGTTGAATATCAATAAACACCGTTAGCTACTTACTTTCTGCTTAGATTTCATGTTTGTTGCGAATGATGAGTGCTGGCCAAGCCGTTGGGCCTATGAATAGTTCGTCGTTGGAATGGAATTTTCTAAAACTCAACTGGGATGTCAAAATGCCCCACTAGGGAAGATGCACAGCGTTAGGCTAATTCACCACTATTGCGATAGACGAGACGATGCCAGATCGTAAATCTTTTTAGTTTCCTAATTCCACACCTTCAGACCTCAATATATCATTTAATTATTAATATCTCTGATAAATTGATTTCATTATATACCCATGCGCGGGCTGCTATCATCTGACGAGAAATCTCAACATTCCAGCCTCCGCCAGTCAATTTCAACAATTAGATTTGCCATCTACTTTGCAATCCATGATGACTATAGTCGGCTCTTTCTGCTCCCTCTTCGCAACAGCAGTTTTCCAACACGTAATCGTTCTATTTAATTGACCTTTTAATAATGAACTGTAGTAATCCACGCCTTGATATGTTAATACGCTTAGTGCTTTTCAACAGATGAAGCATTTGGATCCACCTTTAATAAGCTTCAGGTAAACAAATAAAAGCTCATCTAGTATAATTTAGACTTTTATTTTAATTAAACTATCCTTCATTTTTAATAAATAACTAATGTGCTTATTAACACTTCGATACAGTTGCGCGCTTTTAAATCAGCGTCAATGAATTATGATACAGAGTGTGGAGGGGATTAGATTTGTAAATATGTTGCAAAAAATGTCCGGTACAAAGTTTTCTAAATAGAACAGAGACAAAACATGCAAATTTCTAACAGTTTTTTTCACGGAACCGCAGGTTCGTTCGTTCGACTTGAAACAAAGGCTCTTTTTCTAAAGTTAAAAATAGAAAAAAAACTTGTGGTAATTGTGCACGAAAAATAGCCCTATTTGCCAGGTTTCAATATTTGATTTAAAAGGGAGAGACATTTTCAATTTTTCTCCGAGGTATTGTTGGAAAAGAGTGCATCTAAGTCAACACTTTAATATAAATCTAGAAATTATGATTGCTAGCAAACTAATCGCTAGGGGGACCAGATCATTGATCGAGATATTAGACAGAAAACACCCCTAAACAATAAACAGAAAATATGCGGGTAAAGTCGATATCTAAATAAGTCAAATCAATTTGACGTACATCTTTTAATCGAAAGCTTCAAAGTTTATAAGTTTGCAGTGGTACTTATAAAATATCTGATTTATTACCCAAGTAATTGAATTAGCGCACTTCCTCATTAACCAATGTATGCATTTCTAAACGTACTTATATATTGTATATCCGATAAGTATGATCATAAGTACTATGGACATTATGATCGTTCCAAGTATTATAATAGCGAGATCAGAGTGAGTCAGTGTTTTTGGAGAGTTTGTTTTGTGATCCTCTGAAAATGAATTAAAAAAAGACAAATAATGAAAATAATATGAAGCACGAACTTTACTAACAAAATCAATCTTACGCACTATACGTAAATTTTTTGTCATCAAAATTAGCTAAGTGCCACGCAGATCGACTGATTTTAGCCACAAAATTTGATTTGGTATCAAACATATGATTAAGCATAATTTCATCTGAAGGCACAGATGCAATTACTATTTCCATCTTAAAGGTAAAATTTTAGTCCTTCATTTTTTTCTAGTTTGCAATTGGGAGCGCATAGATAAATTAGATAAATGTATAAGCCTGTATTTCCTTGCACTCAAAACTAACTTACACCGCAAGGACACTCTCAGAGACAAAGTACAACCAGACGCACAACAATCGCTGTTCTTTTTTAAGGTTTTAGAGCAACGAAGAGATGGACGCGGAAGGTGTTGCGTATACACATGTACACACACACACACATTTATTTGTTTCCATTTGACTTTAGCAATCAATATGTTGAAAGCATTGCACACTTAATTCAAAACCAATATTTTTGTTCAGGCGGACTAATACATGACTTGTTCCAGATCGGCTCATCTAACTTATCTTTATGCCAAATTTCAATTCATAAATGTCTACTCGTTGAGCTGTAGTATTGGCTAACGAAACTCATAGTTGACATGCATTGATACCACAGAAGTTAATGTGAACCTTTGACAAGTCAAATCTCAAAGATCCGTTTTCATTGATGTAAAGGCAGTAATTTGGTTGGCAAATTGTTTAAGAGAATCCTGGTCAAAAGGAATCTGAATGGGGGGTAAATTTATCACAAGTGCGCCTTCAAGAAATGCACCTATCTAAGCTAAGAACTCAGTATCCATTGGCCATGCCTATCTTAATTGAAAGCATTGGAGTAGTGTTTTAAGTAACTGGCCATTCAAGATTCGTACTTAACTCCTTAACATACCAACTAAAAATTAGATTTGTTGCAAGCACAAAAAACGGGTGCATTGAGATTGGCTAGTAAATCATAAATCCAAGCTTAAAGTTAATGGATTTAGACTACATTCTCAAGTACTAATTTTAACGAGGAAGTTGATGATAGTCTCAAATAAAATAATCACTGACTAATTACATTCCAACTGACGTCATCCTTAAATCGGGTGATGCATATATCAATTAGCTCCAAACTACAAAATAAATCATTTATAATTATTTTAAAATATGAATTCCTGTAATTGCGATTCCAGCTCATTTTTTGTTAATAAATAAAATTGAGTTGAAAGTTACTGTCACCTGATTTAAGAGCATGCGCCTCAGAACTGTTTGCCGTCAAGACTGAATCCGTAATGAGGGGCGAGAGAATGAGCATCTCTAAAATTGGATGAAATATTTCAGGCGTGAATCGAATAAGAATTTTACCATTTTTAATAGTTTAAAGCAGATTTTATTAACTAAATTGCAGTTTTTAGATTAAATAATTTTATTTATGCTAGAAATAAGGCTAGAAAATGGTAACTAGAAATTATTATCAATTCATTAATAATTCAACATAATCTGTAGAATAGTTTTCGTATCTAGTTGGTTTATGAGGTACAAATGTTCAAATGAACAGTTTGAAAAACATTTCAAGGAATTTGTAGACTCTGAATTGAGCACGCACTGTCACTTCCACAATATAGTAATTGGTGGAGGATTTTGACAAGACTCATAGATTAGAGTAGTCATTGCCTAAAATCCCATCTTACTTCGACTGCCTATAGCAGCCCAGATTGTTCTTGGTTCAGTAGCGCCTCCAATTCCCACTGCTAGCTCCCTTCTTCTCTCATTCCCAACTATCCGGTACCTATTTGGTCAAGTCAACCCTTGGACAAAATTTTTCAAATGTTCATGAAGTTTCTAAATCTTAGGGAAATCTACAGAGGTTTGCCCCCTTTTCTTGGATGGCATCCTGTCTTCTGAACTCAGTCTGTTGCTTCAAATTCATTATTGCCTAAAATCTCACAAAATACTCCTAAAACGTCTGCCTAATTAATCTTGATTAATTTAACCGTCTACTATTAGTAAATAAAAAGACTTAATGAGTCGATATAATAAAAGAGTAATCAATATCTTACCTTTGGACGTTTCATTTTTCTCCTCTCTTTGTTTAAAAAATGCAGCTGGGGGAATTTCATCTGTGCTAATTAAGTCCAGAGCTTGAATGCAAAAAAAAGGAATAAATTTCATAACGGCAAAATATGTTCCCTTTCACGAATTTACATTTAGCGCATGCCAAACACCCTGGTTTGATAGCAAAGCTTACTAGTTGTGAAGTCGCTGGAGGTTTCTCCTGTCTCGTTGGGATCGTCAATTTCCGTGGCCAGTTTTTCTTCAATTCTGAACTCTCTTTCAGTCGTTGAAATTTGATACTCCTGTTCATTAGGAGGTCTTTCAGTAGACTCATTTATAAGCTCTAAATAAAAAGAATGTAAAGTAGTTTAAAATATCAATCGAAAATTTCCTTTTCGCTCATCTGAATAAAAATATAGTCACAAGTACAAATATTTCTGACTCCAAAATGATATATACAGTCAATGCTCAACCTGATTCAGAATAAATTAAGACCGAAATATAATTATTCAATGGCTTCCTAATATTCACTGAGATATGTCAGCAAGTAAAGCCACAATGCTAAATCCTTAAAATTTAATTAGTCAATAAGGTGAGTTAAGTTGAAAAGAAACTCAAATTATAAGACGCCGCATCGATTCATTACCTGATTTAATTTTAGGAAGATTCGGCTCGTTATCGAACTCTGATGTAACGTTCTTCCCATTATCTAAATTGAATAAAAATAAGCAAAATGAATTAAGTAACTTAAAAATGAATATATTCATCTTAATCATTTGCACATTATATTGTTTTAAATTGGTAATAAATTAGAATAACTCATAGATATTTTCGAGAAAGCGAGAAATTTTGTATTTATTATGCCTTTAGGTATCGCTTCATTTCATTTTAGCCGTTTAGGTAGGTGCTTATGGTTGTAGCTACAGAACCAATTTCTCATGTGCCATTTAAACTTTGGCCCAAAGTTTATTTTAATGCAAAACGTCAACTTGTGCTGGTAAATAAAGTAAAATTTTACCTTTGTCTAAGTAGTACTTGTAAGTATTTCTCAAGTGTATCAACGGTCTGTGACTCGTGTTGACTAATTTATCAGCTGAAATTGTGCCCATATCATTCATAGAATAAATAAAAATCTACTTTTAAAATTAATAAATTATCAATCATTAAAATTGGTTTACCTGTGTTCTGTGTTGAGGTCTCCATTGTGGTAGGGATGATTTTCATTGTTTCTGTAGAGTTTAAAAGTGAATGGAAAGAAATATCTAATTATGAAAGTAATCTAATGTATTTGTCAAACAGTTAATCAAATGTCATTATTAGAATTAAATCCGTATATCAATAGCGTCTGTTTATCGTCAACGCAGTCTCAGCTATGACATGTAAATCAAATCATTAATTCAGAATATTAGAATGAAAAATGGTTATCGTGTTTTACGAAAAACCGAATGTTTCTAGAAGTGGATTTTAAACCACCTCCCATACCTTCTTTTATTTATCAGAATAAGGCGTTAAGCCTCTAGACTAATGGGTTCACAGAGATAAAGTCTGCGAAATCACTTGCACAAAAATGTCAAGTCTTTTAATCAAAACCACATGGATACATATATCTTTTAAAATGCCGATAGTAAAGTCAAAATAGTTCTAAATCGGTCGTGGAAATTTTCATCGCTTTATGACAAGTCATTAAGTTTATTCTTACCGCGGAAGAATAATGTGAAACTATTGCTTGAAATAGGAGGAGAAATATGAATCAAGTATTTGACAACTTAACGCCTTTGAATTTCTTGATAAGATTAGCATTTACAAATTGAATGGTTACAAGTCGAGGATCTAACGCCAAATTTCCCTGATATATCAAACGTAAGCATGAAATGCATTTCGAAGTACAATTGTCATAAGTGATCCCCATTCTTTAGTGTCTCCTATATCAAATTTCAGTCATGTCGGTTTCGATTTTTCAAAATATGGAAGGTGCTGTTCTCATCATCTGACCATCGTCTTTCCACGCTTCTCATTCTTATTCCTAGATACATCCAAACAACGAATTCCATTGTTTTTGCTTTCTGAGCTCGTGTATTGAAAATCTTTAACAATCACTATATAAGACAGTAATTATTCTAATTGTTGCGATTTGAAGGTAGTGCAAAATATTTAATTTTAGTGTGTCTTTTATGCTTTACTGAACAATTTTGCCGCTACAACAAATTCCTGGATCTTTAAACCAAAATAAATTATTAACATACCTGAGTGAAACTGGGTGGCCCTATTGACTATTTCTAATGCGTCGCCATTTGAATGTACCTGATATGGCGTTGCCAAAGAGATTGGAATTTCAGTTGTCGTCGCCTCTAATGCGGTTCGACTTGGCTCTCCACTGTTGGATTGCCTATGACCTTCAAATAAAATGGAATACTGAGCTAATTGACAAAGAACTTTAGAAAATCCGAACATTTCGAATAATTTTACTCATATTCTGTCTGTTATTATAAACAGCATCAGAGTTATTTCTAATTTAAATGGTTTTCGTAAGGGGTGTGTGATAGACTTACCTCCACGTGGTGCACCCTGGGCAACGTATACTCATGAGGCAAAAAAGTCTACTTATCGGCAGTTGACTTCTTACTTCAACCTACCATCACCCCACTGTGATGCGTGCTCAAGTACTTCTACAGTACTCATCTCATCTTTTTTCTACCTTTTTCCTGTCTCTTTTACATCTTTGAATCACTCTTCTGTTCCCCCCCCCTCCACTCTCTCTCTCGACTTTCTTTCACTCTGATGTTCCTTCCCCTCTGTGAAGCCTCAAGTCAACTAAATATCAGAACGCCTGTAAATAAATGATTTTCGTAAAAGTGTTTGTCGATGTTAGTGTCTTAGCCTGAAAGCCATGAAATAAACTCTGTCAAAATGAATAAAATTGACTTGTGTGTACTCCCACCCCTGCATTTGTCACCGAGTGTTAAAGGTTTAATATGTGTACTTAGAGTTTGGAACTTGTCTGAAATTTTAATGAATGACTTCAATGAATTTTACAGTGTGCTACCAATAAAATTTTGGCTTTCAGGGCAATTATTTAATTACCTGGATCATTCGAAGGACGATTTTCATCATGCGTGTTACTGGAGTCCATATAACCTGAAGATTAACCAGATAATGAAAAATAACTAAATTTATCTATTGTTCAAAAAAGCAATACATTTTTCCACTTATGCTTTTATGCAAATGTTTCATTTTGTTTCAGACCAGCAAAGATAATTTTTTTGTCGTTACCTGAGCCGTGCGTGTCTACATTTGTTTCCTGTTCAAACTTCTTTCCTTGTAAGTAAAATAAATCCTCGTTTGTTGTATTTTCTGGCAAAAAAAAATATTTGCATTGCTGATCTCAGTTAAAAGTTGGATACAATTGAAATAATATCTACCTTTATTCTTCGTGGTATCTTCGGTTCTGGTGACGACATGCGCAGACTCTATTAGTATATGATTAAAAGTTTGATAAATATGTTAATAATTCAAATAATGAAGAAAATTAAATTTCAGATGCAAGACGCATCACATTCTAATTGAGTTTATTCTCCTTTTCGATTACATTTTCTTATTGCATATTATGATTTTGTTTTCTGTCTATAATTTGCCCATTTGTTTGAATCATATTGATTAGCAAATATAAGGTAAGCAAGTTTATAATAAACATTTAACGAAAAATTGAAAATGTAATCAAATAATTAATAGAAAATTCATTATAACTTTTTTCTAAATAGTTGTTTTAATTCGGTAAGGAAATTAGATCTTAAGTCTTGTTTAAACAAAAGAAAGGATCATATTTGCAAATTTTCGTTATTTATCGTAAATATGAAAATAATATAAACTCAATTTCACCCTAAATGAATAATTAAGCAAAGTACGAAATTAAATTAGGAATGCAGTGTCCGAAATTAATATTTGCTTGTTAAATACCCTATTTTTCATTTCGTCAACTTGAGATTCTTCATTCAGATAAAAACAGAAAATATTAAATGACACAACCATAACAGATAGAGGTATTAGATTAATTAAAATTGTTCCCAAAAGTAAATACTGCTTATGAATGTCGCTGCATCGATTCGATCATCTCAACGCTAAGTCAATAGACACGGTGTATGAAAACCAAGAAATTTTGTTAATAACTCAGGTGACAAATCATTAAATTTTTATTCATACTATGTAAGCATTATGGGGCCTGAATCAGGAAATGAACCAATCGAGATTGCCTTTGACAAACTAAGAAATATTCAATATCTTTCAACCCTCTTCCCTTCCTCAATTTCATATTAAGTATTTTGAAAACTACTCAAGGGGGACAAACTTCTCAAGTCCCCTTATGATGGAAGGGGCAAAAAATATGCTGTGTAAAGAGTTTGCTCTTCAAGGTCAAATTCGTTTGTTTTGTTTTAATTGCACCTTGGTGGTGTATTTTTTGCGCCCAAATCAACTTCTTCTATGGAATACAACTGATAATTTTTATTGACCACATGGGTTGGCCAGTCTTCAGTTTCCACTCAAATTAGTTTGAGAGTTTAATAGTTATATTTCATAGCATCTGCATAGTCTCACTTTTTGTTAATTCTTTTGACGGGAGGAGTGGAAGAAAAGTTGTAACTTTAATAAAGATGTCGTCTGTATTCACAACAAGTGAAATTCAAATGATACTTGATAAAAAATCTCTTGAATAAATAGTTTAACATCACACCATTAGGCTACAACTAGAGAAAACTGCAATTAGATTGAATTGAAATTTTGTCTCTAGAATATATGAGCAAAAGGAATCTGGTGGGAAGTTAGACAGACGAATTTTTGATCAGTGTGGGTGGAATGGCTAACCGTAGTGATTGACTCCGGCTAATAATAAGTTGTTAGACATTCGTATAATCAGGAGTGAAGTGACAGTTCAATGCTAGAAATAAAATTTTAAATACAAGCAGTCTGCAAAAATCAGCGCAAATTTGAAATAAGTCAAGAAAATATGAAACTCTTTCTCTGAAAATGAAATCACCAGAAAGTAAGAAAAAATAAATGCTATTGTAATTCACCAAAGAACTTACGGGAAGACTGGCCATTCCACGACTTAATAAGCGGATTTTCGGTGACGGCTAACTCTTTGACTTTTGGATCGCTTCCCTCTAAATTTGTAAATACATTTCGAATAAAAGGAAAACATTTAAATTAGAAATAAGTAAGATAATAAATTATCGGAATATCCATCACCGTTTCCATTGAAATGGTTATCTATATCATCCGATTTGTGAAACTATTTCAGAATCGTAACATTCCGTTACTGCAATTAAAATTGTCGATCAGATAGATAGGCCAGTTGAAATATTTCAACATTGTTGAGGGGAATACATCTCTTCCTTCACTATAGATGGAGACTGGACATCAGTTTTGATTACTGCTGAGAAGCACCCATGCTTTAAACCCCTATTAATTTCAGGTAAGCTTAACAATGATTTTAATAATTTGATTACTTGACAAATTAACTGGTCAATAAGATATGGAATTCGTAATTAAGAGCTCATTTAAATTCCGTGAATTAAATGGTGAACTTTGAGATTGCGGAATATAGATATTATTTTTGAATTCAAATACAGTTCGAAATTCAATATTTTGAATTTAACAGATATTGATTTTCGACCGTGTTTATATTTTCCTTCCTAATGGGATTACTTATTCCTTTCACTAATCAACAGCAAAATCTAAAATTAAAAAGTGTATTATTGTCTAAGCATGTACTTGATCAAAGTTATTTATTAGTACTTTTTTGTTAATCATATGAAAGTAAATTTCAGCTGATTAATCACCTACATCTAAATATGAAATTTCTCCCTTCGTCAATAATTTACAGGAACTATTTAACATTTTCGAAGAAACTTGAATAACGTTTAGTTTAATACCTTCAAATGAACCATAGTGCTCAAAATCAGAGTTCGACTATAAAAAATGCCATATATATATTTATTTGTGTTTACTTCATCGTTGCTTATTACATCTACTCGATCTTGGCTGTAAAAGGGAATATAACTTTTTACTTAGAGGGCACGAGAGCAAATGTATGGAAATAAACGTCCAGAATTTTTCCAGCAAAATGTTCACCATCGGGTGCAAATAAGTACAACTTAACATTCAAATATCGGAAAGAAAATTGCTCAAAGCTCTTATACATCCCGCCTCCCAGATTTCTGCCCTTGTTGATTAGGATAGTTGTTTTTTTCCTATTCAATCCCTTGACCCAAACTCGTAAAAAGTTATTCCTGTATCATGATCAGTAATACTAATAACGTTGTTGCCCACTAGAAGCAAGATCCTTTTGCACATTAAACTTTCGTGATCATGGGGATTTTTGCAGTTCAATGCTCATAATTGGAACCTTTTTTGGAATTTCTCATAGAAATACTTTTCTAAGGCATATAGATTACTATCAAATTATTGAAATCTTGCCTGCATGTAAGGCTTCCTCATTAGTTCCTTCAGTATCTAAATTTAATGAAGTTAATAGTACAAAATAGAGCTTATGTAACTTTGAAACAAACTATGGTGAATCGTTACCCGTTGCATTTTTGTCCCACCCTAAATCGAGCCGTTCAGTGCCAGTTGATTCATTTGCAAAGGAGGGCAAATCCACTGCAATAGATTTAATAATGAGTTTCAATGCTTCTACACGCAAGACTTGGCTTTCAACATTTTGAATTTTATGCGAGAAATGAAATGTATGTTATATCAACCTTGAAATATAGGTACTGTGGTTTTATTTTTAACTTCCCTCGAAAATGTTTACTTACATAATGCGCCAATAGAATTATCTGTCACCATACTGCTCTTTGACAGATTTTCACTTTTTGGGGCAACCATACTTGCTAAAAACAAATATTTTTTCATTAATTCATGACTGATGACTTATAATTTAAAATCATACTTAAACCATGTGGCATATATATAAATTAAAATCTTGACGTATAAAGTCGTGTTTAATGAAAACATGTATGTGAATGTCATTTGTTATCACCTACCAAATTGAGCACAGTGAAAATGATCTACAATATGCAAAACGTGCAAAATAAATAAGCGTTATGTACGCTGGTTTGCGTTTTGGGTAAAACGTGGAAGTGGCAAAGGAGCATGCTGTTGTGAAATTTGGAGTAAGTCGAGCAGAATTTTGGAGCATTGTTGTAATTAAATCGGGATAATTTCTAACGCGTATAGCCATGCAGAGACTTGAAATCACCATTTTGATAACAACTAAGTTTCTGAGTAACTTGACATGGGTAAATCATTTCTTCTGTATAATGGTTTGCATTAATTGGGGGTGCGAGATAGACTTACCTCCACGTGGTGCACCCTGGGCAACGTATACACATACGGTAAAAAAGTCTATTATTTGGCAGTTGGCTTCTGACTTCAAACTACCATGACCGCACTGTATGTCATTTTCGACCACTTCCATGGTACTCACCTTACATTTTTAAACCTTTATGTCTGTCTCTTTTACATCCTGGAATCTCTCTTCTGTTCCCCCACTCGATGTTTTCTCACTTTGACGTTCCTTCCCCTCTGTGAAGCCCGAAGTCAACTAAAGGGCTAATGATAACCATCAAAACGCCTGCCATTTGATATAAATAAATAAATGATTTACATTAAGTAAATCTCAGTAGTCAGACCTATCTACAATTTATACTTGATTTGAGTTACATATCTTAGTGTTCACTCCACCAATTGTACAATTCCTACTTAATTGAGATCTGAAAAGGGCTATCAGTTAAGGTCCCTATAATATAACCAACACAAAATTCTTTCCTGGTTGCTTGGATTCAATGGCCAATTTTTAGTTATTTTAATTGACAGAAGTAAATTTCCCCAAGGGACAACTCACTCGATGCAGAATTCGCCAATAAATTGAAAAGCTCGTCTGGATCGAGGTAACTTAGTTGACTGATTGTGTCCTTAG